TATGTTTGTAGAAAGTCATGGGGTCGCTGAAATCTAAATCAATGGGGTGCTTACTGAGGTGCTGCTTGGCCTATACAGCGGGCTTGTGGGAGGTCTTCACAAACCACTGCAGAGGACTGGAGCCTGTGAAGGTGAGTGCAGTGTTAGAAAAGGGATGCGTGGGGTCAGGATGCAGAGCTGTTGGCACAGGCTATGCTGTAGGAGAAGCTTCAGCCTCAGGGTGGGCAGTTCGCACAGGGTGGGTAGGGATCTGTTCCATGGTTCAAGGGGAGAATTAGGAATCTGAAATTCCTGAATTAGGAATTGGCCACATCTTGAGTTTATTCCAGGGTTTCCACAGCTGAAGTGTTGACAATATAGGGACTAAATAGCACCATTCTAGCACTCATTTCTTGGTTCCTACTCCCTTCCCTCCAGTTCCTTGGCTTCATTCTCTTCCTTCCTCTTCTGCCACCAGCCTGGACAAACTGCTCGATGCTGGTCTCTACACTGGAGAGGTGACAGAAATCGTGGGAGGCCCAGGAAGCGGCAAAACCCAGGTACACGTGTGGCCAGCAGCCAGGACTGGGAGAAGTGGGCGAATAGCCCTGGATCTCTGGGGGAGCTGCTGCCGGGGTGCCTGTGATTCAGGCTCAGCGGAGAGACGATGGGTGGTGAGGAGTGAGGCTTGAACTTGGCCCACGGATGCTGCTGGCTTCGGGACAGGATTTGGAGGGGGGCTCCTGTCCTGGCCCTCTCTGAGGCTCAGGTTCACCCAGTGCCCCATTTCTACTCAGGTATGTCTTTGTGTGGCTGCAAATGTGGCCTATGACCTGCAGCAGAACATCCTATACATTAATTCCAGTGGAGGGCTGACAGCCTCCCGCATCCTGCAGCTACTTCAAGCCAAGACTCCGGATGAGGAGGAGCAGGTAGGAGCCAGGAGGGTTGGGTTCCTTTGCAGTTCTGACACAAAAATACAAACCATTATCCCTTAGGTTGCAAGAATTTTGGCCATTTGGATGAATAGTCATTTCTGGCTTTGAAACTTGCTGTTCTATTAATACTTCCAGTATTTTTCCTGTCAGGAGATCATCCCTCAGCTTGGATGCTCCCCACACTGATCCTTCCAGGAAATACAACTCCTTGCATTCCTGAATTCAGGGATGGCAAATGGCCAGCATCTGTGTTTCTATCCCATTTCTTGCCTGTGGCAGGCATCACTTACAGCCCAATCACTCCCGCTGAGCTCTGACTTGACTTTGTAGCACAGCACCCAGGCGGCCAATCCCAGGGTGGGATTCCTGAGTACTTCATTCATTCCTTAGTGTCTCATGGTTCACCCTGCTCTCCCAGAGAGGAAGGGCCAAGCCTATTTCCGTTTTAGCTTCTCTTTTCTGCCATCCTCTCTTAGACAAGCTGTTGAGTGGCCAAGAGTCAGTGAATGAAAACTGGACCATTAGATCAAGCCCATTGGCCACCCTGAACCTGAGTCTTTGTGTCTAGGTGCCTCTTCCTGCCCTTCATATTGCTCAAACCCCTGCTCCCTTACCCAGAGCCTCTCCTTCTCTTTCCTATCCTCTTGAATAGGCAGGAGCTCTCCAGAGGATCCAGGTGGTGCATGTGTTTGACATCTTCCAGATGTTGGGTGTGCTGCAGGATCTCCGAGGCTCTGTGGGTCAGCAGGTAAGCCTGCTGTTTCTGTCCCTCCCTGCTTCACCTAGCTTGCCAGGTGCTCTCTGTATGTGGGCAAATGTCCTACTACATACTCTGGAAATGCAGATGTGCAAGCTGGTGACTCCAGCTGTGCTTGTCACTCCCAGGGTGGGATTCCTGAGTACTTCATTCATTCCTTAGTGTCTCATGGTTTAGATGCCCATCTTCTCCACTAAACAGTAAGCCCCTTGTGTGCAAGGATCATGTCATGTTCATCTCTGCACTCCCCCACTGGATCAGTTAGGTTTACTTTCAGCTGCAAGTAATAGAGTATGTTTGACAGACACTTGAACCTTGAGAACATTTAATTATCTCACATGAGTCTGGATGTTCACAAGTCTGCAATATCAGGTTGGGGTGTCTGATTCTCTTGCTCTTCCCCCTCATGATTGCAAAGTGGCTGCTGTAGCTCTAAGCATCATGTCTTCACACATCCACATCCATATTCAGGGCAGTGAAAGATAGCTGCTTATTTTCTGTATCTCTTCCCTTTTATCAGGGAAGAAAAATATTTCTCCAGACCACTAGTAGATTTCCCACTTCCCTTTATTTCTATTTGGCCCAAACTGCATTATGTGTGTATCTGAGACTAGGAGTTGGGCCCACCTTCCTAATGTCTGGAGATTTCTGCCCAGTACCTGGCCACACTGAGTTCTGTTAACAAGGAAGAGGAGTTTGGAATGGCACTGGATGGGTCCCCTGCTGTACGTGCTAGGTGCTTTGACAAGATTTGATGCACTGATTTATAGACTAATAGATTTAGAAGATAGAACAGTTTAATTCATCTTAAACTTTTTCTCTCATTTCAAAGTGTAACATATTCCCATGGGTGTACCCAGGATTGTGTATACAATAAATCACTTTTTACAAACTTCTGAATATAAAATAGTTGAATAAGTACTTGCCATAGGAATCATAGCTGGCTATGACCGACCTGTGTGTTAAGATATGAAGCCAAATAATCCTGATCTAATCCAACCCTCTCATTTCTAGAGATGAAGAGAGTGAGGATCAGAGAAGTTGCTCAAAGTCACCACATATTTAGGATAAGAACTAAGCTTATAACCCAAATCTCTCAAAGTTCAAGTCAAAAGACTATATATTTTTTTTTGAGAGGGCATCTCTCATATTTATCGATCAAATGGTTGTTAACAACAATAAAATTCTGTATAGGGGACTCAATGCACAATCATTAATCAACCCCAAGCCCAACTCTCAACAGTCTCCAATCTTCCGAAGCATAATGAACAAGTTCTTACATGGTGAACAAATTCTTACATAGTGAATAAGTTCTTACGTGGTGAACAGTGCAAGGGCAGTTATCACAGAAACTTTCAGTTTTGATCACGCATCATGAACTATAAACAATCAGAAAAGACTATATTTTTTTACTGTAGGACTATTAGATGGTATATATCCTGTTCTCCATAACATGTTATTACAAACTTAGTGACTTAATATATATTTATTGCCTCACAGTTTTCGTGGGCTGAGAGTCTGGGGACAGCTTAGCTGGATTTTCCGCTTAGAGTCTCATTAGGCTATAATCAGGGTGGCAGCTGGGCTGTGTTCTTATCTGGAGGCTCAGCTGGGGAAGACTTTCCTTACAGGTTCACTAAGGTTGGCAGAATTCATTTCCCAGCAGCTTCAGTCTCTTGCTGGCAGTTGGCCAGAGGCCACCTTCAACTCCTAGCAGTTGCCCACTCTTCCCTGCCATGTGGCCTTTTCCACAGGCAGTTCACACCACGGCCACTTACTTTTCAGGATAGCACAAGAGTGAAAGCAAAATGCAACACACAGTCTTATATAACACAATGTAACCTTGGGGTGACTTCCCTTGCCATATAACATAACCTACTCAAAAGAGTGACATTCCAACACCTCTCATGTTTTATTAGAAGCAAGTCAGAGGACTCACCCATGGTCAAGGGGAAAGGATTATACAAGGGCTTGAATACCAAGAGGTGGGGACCCTGGGGGCTACCTTAGGGTCTGTCTGCACAGATGACCTGACAGCTCCATAGCAGTAAATGGCTTGCTTTCATATTTTAGTCAGAGATTTCACCCTGCTCACCCAGAGAGGAAGGGCCAAGCCTATTTCCGTTTTAGCTTCCCTTTTCTGCCATCCTCTCTTAGACAAGCTGTTGAGTGGCCAAGAGTCAGTAACTGGAAGATGAAGGAAGACATGCAAAAGACAGACTAGATAATGCTGAATATCCAAGATTTGGCCGACCTGAAGTGAAAAAAAAAGTTACAGAAACAGAATCAACAAACAATTTGGGTATAAGGAGTGAGGGAAAAGAGAAGGGAAACATCAATGGCAGTTTAGGTCCAAGAAACCAGAAGGATGCTAATGCTTGTGTAGAGACAAAAAAAATTATGGTTTTAACAGATGGCTGTCTATGTAGTCTACATTTGGAATCATTTTAGATACGGAAGATGAGGCCCTAGGGGTGTGATCTAGGAGACACTGAAGTATAGAGAAGGCTAGACACTTCAGCAAAAGATGCTAGGAATTTGGGAAGGAAGCACAAGAGGGGAAAAGGGGCCTGACAAGATGGTTGGGGGCTGGCCATTTGAGAAAGATAGCCATTTTCTTAGAAGAAAATTCCTGACTGCAGGGCCACTGCATTTAGAATAGGGATTTCTCAAATTTAGTTATTTTAGGGTATCTGTGATATCCTGTGATTTAACCCTCTCTACCCACCCAAGTCCTCAGTAAAATCTGTTCTGCATACAAATGGGGGTGGAGAAAAAAGACATTGCTGAAATTCGGGAATGGCTGCACAGCTGTATTTGGGGAAGAGGAGGTTGTTTCTTACCAGTTGCTGATAGAGGAACCATCTTCTCCTGTAATTGGTGCCCCCTAGAGGACAATTGGGTCATGGCACCTGTTTCCCCTCCATCCAAAGGTGAGCAGTTCTTCAGGAACCATGAAGGTGGTGGTTGTGGACTCGGTCACTGCGGTGGTCTCCCCACTTCTGGGAGGTCAGCAAAGGGAAGGTGAGTGGTGTGGCAAAGCCCAGGGTTGGGGACCTGGTTTTGCCTCCCAGCTGTGGAGTCCCGTCTGCAGCCAGTCCAGGCCCTGCTGCCCTGCTGCCCTCTGCCTCTCCTCCTCCAGGCTTGGCCTTGATGATGCAGCTGGCCCGAGAGCTGAAGAGCCTGGCCCGAGACCTTGGTGTGGCAGTGGTGGTGAGGAAGTGGGCTTGGCCACCCCTGCTTGTCTTATCTCTGGCCCCTGGTCTTGATCAAGGGGGCACATGAACTCGATTTCTAGTTACAGCTCTTTATTTATTTTAAATGGCAGCAGTTTTGAACCCCTAAGGGGGCCCACTACACAAGAGCCATAGCCCAACTTCCCTGGGTCGTCTGGAGTACTGGAGGGGACCGGAACTAGACAGCCAAGAGATCAGGGACAGTCTTGTTTTTCTGTTTACTTCCTTAAGTCAGATTTATCGAGATATAATTCCCATGGAGTAATTTTCTTCTTGTTTGAAGTCTGACTAGTGAATACCATCATATCTTGTCTTGTTAACTTACTGTAATCAAAATACAGAATATTTCTATCACCCAGAAAGGTTCCCCAGCCCCAGATAACCAGACCTGGTTTCTGCCCCAATAGTTTTGCCTTTCCCAGAGCTGCTTAGGAATGGATGTTTTTGCTTTTAAAGTAACTTTTTCTGCTTGTGGAGTAATTCTATAAATTTTATGTCTTCTCAGCAAGGGTAAAACAGTTAAATATAAAAGTCAAACTTGTAATCTCCATATCCACAGAAACCATATTCTTTTATATATGTCCATAGAATCTTTTTTCTCTGCATTAGTACATTTAACCAACTTTTTTTAACTACACTGTAACCTTGTTTAAAAGAAAAACAACTTACTATCTCCTTGCCTTTCCCAGGTCTTTCAGAAGGTTCTTTAAGAATGTCATTTTTAGCAGTTAATATTATTATTATGATTTTGATTTTGATTTTGATATCATTAATGTACGAGTACTTGAATATTATGGTTACTAGACTCCCTCTATTATCAAGTCCCCCCCACATACCCCATTACGTGTGTCACGGTCCATCAACATAGTAAGATGCTATAGAATCATCACTTGTCTTCTCTGTAGCAGTTAATATTATTTTAATACCTATGTATTAATACCTATGTTACAGGATTGGCAAATGTTTTCTGTAAAGGGCCAGGTAGTAAATATTTGAGGCTTTCCAGCCCTATGGATGGTCTATATTGCAACTATTCTGCCTGTATAGCATAAGAACAAGTGTAGGCAATAAAGGAATAGGCATGGCTATGTTCCAATAAAACTTGATTTTCCAAAATAACTTTTGGACCAACTATGAGCCAGTGGATGTAGTTTGCTGACCCCAGGTGTACTGTAGCTATCTGTTTCATGATTTGGGGTCTGTAAGTCATAACTGATTTTCCTCTATTTTAAATAAACTAGTGAACATCCTTATACCTTAATCTCTTTGCACGTCTCACATTATTTCCTTAAACTCCTAAAAGTATAATTCCTGCATCAAGTATATATTATTTTTAAATGTGTAGAGACACTATTGCCAAATTTCCTGGAAAGTTATACCAATATGTGTGCCCACTGCAGGGTGAAAGGATCTGTTTTCCTCTTCTTTTGTTCTTATATTGGATGACCTCGATTCTCTCCTGATTTCAGGAGGTAATGATCACATGCCATGTACCAGGCTCTAGCTTGGGCCGTGGAGACTCAATGAACATGCCACAGTGTGTGCCTGCAGATTCTTGAGGGGAGAACCTCATAACAGGATGTCGTGGGCTCAGATTGCTTACCCGTGACTAGCCTGAGCTGAGTAGAGCTGACTGACCAGTTTGGAAGAAACCCTGCCTTTCCAAAACTCCCCCTACCCGCATACACACAGATGTGCTCCCTGACACAAAGGGCTGGGTGGACATGGCCCCAGGATGCCGTCTGCTGGGTTGGGGGTATGGTAGGCTCAAGCCCACTGCTGACTTCCCTTCAGGAAAGTGCAGACAGCATTGCATATTCCTGTTCCCAGACATTTTTCCCTGTCACCTTCTTTTGGAGCTGCACCACCTGATGAGGCATTGCCTTGTAGCGGAAAGACCTGGGCACAAGTCGGGAGCCCAGGCCTGCCTTTGATAAGTTATGGAGCCTGGGGCAAGTTGTTTTCTGCACTAGGCCACAATTTTCACATCTGTAAAATGAAGCAGTAGGAACAGATGTCCTCTATGCTAGCATTGTACCTCTGTCTTTGATTGTTTCTGCTGTAGGTGACCAACCACATGACCCGAGACAGGGATAGTGGGAAGCTCAAACCTGCCCTTGGACGCTCCTGGAGCTTTGTGCCCAGCACCCGGATTCTCTTGGATATCAGTGAAGGAGAAGGAGCATCAGGCAGTCAGCGCACAGCATATCTGACCAAATCTCCCCGTCTGGTGAGCTGGCCCCAGGGGAAAGCCAGAAATCTGGGCCCTTGGCAGGTATTTCTGTGTCCACAGTTGTCTTATAGAGGAATTGCTGGATGCTGAGACCCTGTAACCAACTTGGGTTGCTTAACCTGAAAACTTACCCTTCTCTCCTGTCTTCTTTCAGCCAACAGGGTTCCAGGAGATAGTGGACATTGGGACCTGGGGGACTCCACCACAGGGCCCATTACCAGGAGGTCAGACATGGCTGTGCTGTTGGTTGGGGAACGAGAGGCATCAAGGCCCCCCGACTCCCAAGTGCAGTGATGCCCACTGCTCATGCCACCCAGCAAAGGGACTGCAGTAGAAGCTCTTGGGCTGGGCGAAAGAGACATGTGTTTCCTCTGCCCCTCTCTGGAAACGTAGAGCTACAGGTGAGAGAATGTACAGCAGAAGGACCCAGAAATTCGTGCCGGTGCAAAGTTGTCTTCCCTTGTTTCTACCACATTTGTTGCCACTGGGGCCACATTCACCCTGACTTGTCATCTCTGAAGAGGCAAGGCTACTGACTGGACAGATGACCTGTGTGTCATCCTCATACCTGTGCTCTGTCCTAACACGGACTGAGTCCTAAAGCCTCTAGCTGCTGCTGCCCTCCCCTTTTTTTAGTTACTGGGTGGAAGTAACCTCATAAGTGCAGAACTCTTTATCTATGTCCTGCTTTTAAAAATATAACAAGAAAGTCCGTGAGCCCCAGAGTCACCCAGTTTCCCCCCATAAGGTTTATTTTTTAGTTTTCCCCAGTGAGGCCCCAAAGACTGGTTATTCCTTTTTTCCTCTTACTGACTTGGTTTCACACACCTGCATGCATCAGCATGGCTAGGTGAGACTGGGAGCTCGCTGCAATCCCAGGGATATAATTTAACAGGGAGGGAGGATGTGACCCCAGTGAATCCAGCTGCCTGTTTATTATGCACAGTGCCCTTTGGGGCCTCTCCACAGTATAGAGTAGCCAGAGGTGCAGAACCATGGCCTTGCTCATAAACAGAGGAGAATTTGCACAGTGATTAGAGCCAGCTGGGGAAATTGATGCTGGCATAAATAGTACATGGCAGATCTCATCCTTTATGCAGAAATTCATTGGTGGTGGCTTTGAGATGGAATATAATTACCCTTCTTTTCCTGCCAGCTATACCACAGCCTAGTGCCCTAGTGTATGAAATAACCCCCCGTCTGTTATGGGCACTGTTGCTCCGTCTGAGCTGTATCCCTGGCTGGGAGGGGAGGAGGGCACCAGGGAAGGAATAACAAAAAGCAAAATAGAGAAATGATCAGAATTATTTACTGACCATATTTTTTAAAGGAAAGTTTCCTTTCTTGGTTACAGAACTGGTTGTGTAATTAATTAGTTGTGTCTTGGCTGCAGGAAAGGGGATTCAGAGTTACAGGGGGAAGTTGTGACATTCAGAGATGATGAACACAGCAGGGGTAGAAGCATTGAAACGAGTGGCAGACTGGCTTGAGGGTATCTGAGTTAGGATGGGGTTGGTAAGCCTAAGACTGGGGAAGCCTTGGCACTGTTCACAGAAGACCCCAGGAGAAACATCTTCAGGATCTCTACCATGAGTGGTTGGTGCATTTCTACAACCATAGTAAGAAATAGTACGTTAAGCTAGGAATGGTAAATCCCTGCCACTTGTACCATTTGGGCATTCTGGGCCCATGCAGACAGCATTAGTTCATCAAGCAGTCTTTTTTGCAGAGCTTGGAGTGTTTTGCAGTTTTTCTCCATACAACTGTCCCGGTAGCTACCACCACTCAGTTGGAGTTGGCATTTAAGGTGGGCAGATCTGCCATGCTTCCTCTATGTGGTGAGTCAGGTACTTGTTCCCTGGCTGAGGACCCTAGAATAATGCATTTTGAGAGGCCTGTAAAGATCATATGCCCCATCCTGTCATTTAGTGGAAAAGGAAACTGAAGTCCAAAGAGAAGTGACAGCCCCAGTGGCAGAACAGGGGCTGGATCTCAGGACTCCTGATTCCTTGGCCAGGGCTCCTATCTCCACATTGCCGTTAGCTTTCAGCCCACACGGTTCTCTTCCCACTGGGGGACTCACTCCAGCTGAAGGTGCCACAGCCCTCACCCAGGTGGCCTCTCTGGCCATGGGATGGCGCCTGCCTCACTACCACCGCACACTGTGTTCGGGACTCACCACTGTGCATTCCCCCTCCAGGCCTCCAGCCAGGCTGACTGCTGTCCAGCCGCCTTTGCTCCCTTTGCTTAGGTGTCTGCCTCGGCTCTCCCCCTACTGTGTTTGGTGCATGCCCAGCCTGAGAGCCTCTCTTCTTCACACCTCACCTATGGTCCAGACACACATCAACCCCTGCAGTACCACTCCTACTTTCTGTTCACTTGTTCATTTGTCTGCCCCTGAGCCTAAGATCAACTTCAAGGACTCCCATGTCAATTTTTCTTTGGCTCTTTCCACAGCATGAGAGCAAATACCTGAATGGGTGTGCTTTAATGCATTTTAAATTTGACAAAGGAGAAATGCAAGAATGTGTCTCTTGATCTACATAGTCATTGAGTTCCCACAGTGTTTTTTTATATATCTTTCTACCAAGGACTGTTATATGTCCTTGATTTGGTATTAGAATTAATATTGAGTCCCTACTATATGCTAGCACTTGGTAACTTTAAGTCGGGTGTATCAACTCCCAAAGATTCTCTCTGGCAAAAGGTCCATGTGTCATTGAGGGGGCTCTCTGCTATATGTAACAAAATCTAGCTTAAAGATGCTTACAACAATAAGGACATTATCTCTAGTCACATGAAGTCCAAGGTTGGCTCATTCAGTGGCTCATTGTCAAAGGGTGTAGGGCCTTTCCGTCTTTCTGCTGATTTTGTCTTCAGACTTAATCGTTCTCATCAAGTGGAGGTAACCATTCTGAATATCAGTGCAAACATGATGGTATCCACAAGCAGGAACATGATCACCTCCTAGTTGTGTCCTTTTATGAACCAGTAGAACTCAGGACTTCTTCCAACCAAAGCATACTTACTTCATATCTCATTGTCTCAGGATTGTTTCATGCATCCATGTCTTAAATCATGGCAAAGGAAATAGGACAACTGTGAATGGCTCAGACCAACCAGCAAATAGCCCTGGGGATGGGCTTTCTTTAAGCACACCCTGTAGCCATTGCAAGAAAATGGTAGTGCTCCTAGAAAGGAGGGTGTGTGTGTGGAGACGTTAGATGTTGGGTGGGCCACCACTAGTGTCTGCAATAGTCCAGAAGGCAAGTTTAATGAGGCTCGCATGTGCTGAGGCCCTTAGATCTTAGGATGGCCGTGTGTCATGGGGTATCGTTCCATTTTACAGACTGTATAGGAGCCCAGCAAGGTTAGGGGCATAGAGCTAGTAAGTGGCAGCACCAAAATCCAAACTCAAAGTGGTCCAATTCCAAACTCTCCTTCTTTCCATCCTCATGCTGCCTTTGGCTATGAGTATGTAAATACTTCAATAAAATGCTTTTTCGTATTTTGCCCTGATAGCAGCTAAGGCTACACATCCCAACCTCTTCACAGCTTAGTTCATAAAAAACTGGATCAAAGATCTACGTTATCAGCTCTTTCTGATTTCTTCTAGGGAAGTTAGGACAGAATGACAAACACTTGGAGAAGGGAGGTTGTGTTGGTATTAAAGTGAATTGAAGGTTTAGGGGGAAATAAAGCTGAATAAAAAACAATGGTGTTTACGTGCCCCTGAGATGTGAGCCAGAAGAGAGAAGGGATTTAGGTGCATATCCCACTAGGTTTTTGCTGTGTTCTGGCATGGAGTTGTACTGGGTAGAGTTAAAACTGTCCAACTCAGTGTGTTAAGGATGGGCATTGGAGAATAAATTCTGTAAAATATAAAGTATTCCTATTTGAGAGAGGCTACATGTTACCCCAGAATGGAATAGTTAACGACAAACACAGCATGCTAACCCCAATTTTGCTATGGAGGCGACTCTCTGAGGGAGTTATCACCTAAGAAATCAGTGGTAGGGTAATTCCTAAAGAGAAGGGCCAGTCTGAGTTGTGCTCCTTCCAGGACACAGGACTGGCTACGTAGCTGGTGAATGCATGGTATATTATTCATCAAAGATTACACTCAAAGAAAGGTTTTTCCTCATTTTTTCTTGTCTTACTACACTAGACTAACTTCAGATACTAAGTTGAAATAGAAGCAATAATAGCCATTGTCCTTGTCTTGTTCCTGACTTGAGTGAGCTGTTCCCAATATTTTATCATTAAGTAAGATGCTATAGGTTCCCTGTAGTTGCCTTTTATCAAGGTAAAGATCCCATGTGTTTCCTGTCTTGCCTGGAGAGAGAGGCCAGGTACTGGCTATTACACGTGCCAAGCGTAGAGTTTTCTCTCCCAGCAATGGAAGGTCCATGTGTCCCAGAGCTGTAGAGCTGCACTTCAGCTGCTGCACACATTCAACTCTGAGTAGCCTTTGAATCTTCCCTGCCTCTCTCCAGTTTCTGCGTGTGATACCTCTGTTTAAGCCTGTGTTTTGCCAGAAGACAATGGGCCTGTGCTGAAAAGGATAAAGTCAAGAGGCAAGATTTTTTACATCTCAACTAACCTGGTCTTAGCTCTGACATTTGCTTGTTGTACATCAATGGATGAACCACTTAGCTTCTTTAACCCTTAGTTTTGTCCACTGTGAAATGGGGGAAATAATACCTGCTGCATAGGATTCCTTTAGGGTCATACAGGTTATGCAAAGCACCAAATACTTTTCCAGTCTTCTAACAGGCTCTTAACCTATCATTGTGAAGCTTATGCTCCTTGGGAGATACTTGTAACAGCTTCTTTCTGTCCTGGCAAGGGCAGCTTCATGGTAGAGTGACCAGCGCAGTTGCAGAGTCCTGTGCTTTAGTTTAATGCTGTACTGTTGCCATCCTGAAATTCCTAGTACTTCATGAAGAAGGGTCCCACATTTTGCACTGTGCCCTGCAAACTATGTAGCCAATCCTGTCTCCAGAAGAGTAGGTTTCTTGTACTGGCCCTTCTCTTTAGGAAATACTCTCCCACTGATTTCTTAGGCGGTAACTCCCTCAGAGAGTAACCTCCATAGCAAAATTGGTGTTAGTATGCTGTGTCTGTTTGTCATTAACTATTCCATTCTGGGGTAACATATGCAGCCTCTCTCAGAAAGGAATACTTTATATATATATTTTTTCTTTTTTTTTTCTTTTGGTATCATTAATCTACAATTACATGAGGAACATTATGTTTACTAGACTCCCCACCATCACCAAGTCCCCCCCCCC